CAGCTGACGCTGCTGGTGTTGCAGCAGCCGGTGCAGCGCTTCACCTCCACGCACGGCGGCCAGATCAGGAAGTTGGCGGACGTGGGGTCCACCTGGCTCCGAGGTATCTCGTAAATGACCGTCCTGGTCTTGCAGGCGGCGGGGACGGCTTCCTCTGCAGAGGGAGAGCCTGGTGAGTGTGGAGGCCATGCCTGTCCACTGACCGCCCCACCCCCCCAGCCAGGGCTGCAGCCCCTCCGGGGGTCGGGGCTGGGGCCGGGGCTGGGGCTGGCCCTGGGCAACCGGGCGTGCAGCTGCTGCTTCCTCCAATGGGACATGTCACAGCCCCAGGTCCCCACACCCCACAGGGGTCGCTGAGCTGTCCCAGGATGAGCAGGGGCTCGAGGGCCCAGTGGGGAGAACCCAGGGGAGGACACGGCCGGCAGAGGGAAGGAGGGGTCACACGGCCGGCACAGCAGGAAGGGACATGGGAGACGCCAGGCCCGGACACCCAGCCCCCGAGCCCACCCAGGAGGACCTGGATCTCTTCTGCTCTGTGCTCCTCGCACGTCCACGGTCCAGCCCGAAGCCTTACGGACAGGACACCGGGGTGGGACCGACAGACGAGAAACCCACCCCTGGACCCCACACACGTGCCCAGGGAGCCCCGCCAGCAGGGTCTGCGACCACCCACCGAAGCTGCCTCCAGCAACACTCAGGGCCCCCGGGACCCTAGGGCCGGACTGGAAGGAGCCTCCCCAGCGTGCAGGGGACCGTCCTCTGCCTCCGCCCCTCCTCACACGGGTGGGAAGACCTCGGGGCGCCTGGGAGACCCAGCAGGGACCTGCGCCCCGAGAATAAGCCACCCCACTGCTGCCCCCCCGAGGGAAGCGCAGGGGAACCGGACCAGATGGGCTGGGGTGGAGCCGGGAGAGGCCTTGGGCCCAGCCCCTTATTTTACTCGGAGGCCCCTCCTGGCTGGATCCGACCCGCACCCTCCAGGGAGCCGGCTGCTGCAAGGACGTGACTACGTGGTCACAGCACAGCGAACATCACTGGGGCGGGCTGACTACCTGAGCCAGGAGTCACACCCACACGCCATGCTCAGCAGGAGAAGCCATAGGACCCTTCTTCTCGGAGGGGCTAAAGCTGGGGTGGGGGTCACCTGCCCAAGGCCAGGCAGAGCCCACAGGCAGCAGCCGCGGAAGCAGGCAGCCCCGTGGCGTGGGGCGGGATGGGCCATGGCCCGACTGCACCCCCAGGGCAGGAAGCTGCAGAGCCCCTCCGAGCTCCAACGTGAGCAGACCTGGGCTGCTCTGTGGGACGGACAAGAACCAACACCCCCAAACCCAGGCCTATGTGGAGCC